TGCCCCCTCTGCCTGACTTCTTACGCACAGGGATGCACTGCTGCTGGGCATGGAGGAAATGCCGCTTGAAAACTAACCAGCTCTCTTGGGCCCCTCTTCCTTCTAGAGCCCTAGCCCATGGGATCTTTCCCAGCAGGTCTTTGAAGAGGCTAAAGTTGGCCCTCCTGAAGTCCAGCGTGGCAAGGCTACTTATTGCCCTGCCTCCTCCTCGTTGGATCTTGAACTCCACCAGCTCGTGATCACTGCAGCCAAGGTTACCCCCCACCTTCACATCTCCAACAAGGCCTTCTCTGTTTGTTAGTACGAGGTCCAGCAGCCCACCTCTCCTCGTCGGCTCCTCGACCTCGGGTCATGGTGACTGGCTGTGACCAAGCTGCATGGACAATTCCGGGGGCACCAACACTTGGTCAGTTGTCTGCAGGTCAGCAAATGTGGAGGGACAGAGCTGTGTGCAGGAAGGCCCACGGCAGGATTCCAGTGGCACCGGGGGCTCCCCTTGGGAGCCGAAATGGAGCTGTGGGCCCATAGGAAGGGTGTGGGTCTGCAGGAGGCTACCTGGGACAACAAAGGCCTTGGTGCCCTCCAGCCCTGCCCACTGATCTTTGTCAGCTGCTCCGCAGCTCTGTGCATCAGTTTCCCTGTATCCGCTATATTCTACCTATGTAGCTACTTGCTATTACTGCCTTGAGCTGCACTACTTCAAAACTGCAATATTGTCAGGAATTAGACCATGCAAACACTGAAAACCAAGATGATGCCCAAACAAACTAGGCTGAGTTACCTCGTTCGGAGAAAAATCTGAAAAAGAAATGTGACCAACAAGTCTTTGCTTGTAAGCAAGGCTTTCCTGTGGCTGTGCCGTGGCTGTGGCCTGTCCTGGCAATGTGCTGTCTGCTGGGTGGGAAGGCTGCTGCTTAGGGGAAATTGGTGCTTTAGAGCTTTAGAAGAAGACTTTTGAGAGAGAACAGGTATCACTTAGAGGTCAGAAGTGCAGTTTAGGGTTTTTACTTCTGTACTTGTCCTTACTTTGCTATAGGCATTTTGGTAAATATTGTTTTCTGTTGCAACATGTCTGCACGTGGATTTTGATGGCTCAGAATCTTTTGGGTTCCTTGATTTACATTCTTCAAAGTATTTATAATCCAAGTAAAAAAAGCCATGTATGAAGCAACGTTCCACTCCTAATACACTATGCATCATTTAAGGTTGAATTCTGCTGTATTTATTTGTCTTCATGTTCATTTACTTTCTGTTCCCTGTTCTAACATATAAAAGCTACAATGGG